ACAAAGGACAGGACTAGAGTAGTGGAGTAAAAAGATGGAAACTAAAACACATGGATTATATATAGTTTTATTTATTTTCAGCAAATCAATAAACAAGAAAATATTAAGCTCTCTATAGCTTGCTCTAATAGAGGAGATCTCTCTGGGCTTGAATCTCCTTTCTCCTGGCTTATGGGCCTGGGTGTAACTGCCTGGCTTATGGGCAGGGTTTAACTGCTACTGAAACTAAGGGTGCCTCCATTACCTCAACCCACAGGAAAGCCATTTCAAATTCAAATTCATTATTGGCATTTCTGCATCAAAAAATATAAGGTAACCAGCCCTGGATTAATCTCAGGGTAGCTGCAGTCTGGAAGAAGTGCATAAAAGGTTTTTGTATTTTCCTTTTGCTTTTAAAGATACAGGGCCCACGCTTAAGACACTACAAATAAAAGCACAATGAAAATAAAAAGTAGCCCTACTGATTTTCAATTAAGATACCAAGTCCATCTAAGGGAGAAAGGCAAAAAATTTTTTAACTATGTTGCTGGCACAACTAGATATCTGTATGAAGGGAAAATGAACCTAAATCCTACCTCCCATCTTTACAAAAAAGTTAATTTGAGAGGGATCACAGACCTAAATGTAAAACGTGGAACAAGTATGCTTCAGAAAAGAAACAGAGAATATCTTTGCAACCCTAGGGATAGGCACAAAAAACACTAACCATAAAGTTAAAAACTGATAAAATTGACTTCATAACAATTAAAAATTTCTGCTCATCAAATCATCAAGAAAATAAATAGAAAAGCCAAAGACTGGGTAAAAAACTACATCTGAAAAGGACTTGTACTCACAATATATAAAGAACTCCTACAAACAACAGTTAAAAGATGAATCACCCAGTGAAAAAAATAGGCTACTTTAACAGATACTTTACAAAAGAAGTCAATTACTACATAGTGAAGTTCCTTAATTGTCCAAAAAAAACCCACAAACAAACAAACAAACAAATTAAGGAACACCTGGGTGGCTCAGTCAGTTAAGCAGCTGCCTTTGGCTCAGGTAATGATCCCAGCGTCCTGGGATGGATTCCTGCATAGGGTCCTTGCTTGGTGGGGAGCCTGCTTCTCTCTCTCCCTCTGCCTGCCGCTCCCTCTGCTTGTGCATGCATGCTCTTTCTCTGACAAGTAAATAAAGTCTTAAAAAAAATATATGAATTAAAACCACAACGAGGTACCATTTTACAGCTTCTAATGTGGCTAAAATAAAGTCTGACAGCACTAAAATTCACCAACATTAAAAAAATGTGAAGCAACTGGAACTCATATATAAACCACTTTGGAGAACTGTGTGGCAGTTTTTTAGTAAAGTTAAACATACATCTACCCTATGACTCAGTAATTCCACTCCTAGGTATTTATCAAGAAAAATGAAAACATCTATCCCCAAGAGATTTGTAAAGGAAATGTTCATAACAACTTTATTTCTAATAACCCAATCCTGGAAAAAACCCAAACATCCATCAAAAATAAAACAGATAAAGAGCTTAGGCTATATTCTTATAATGGAATACATTCTTCAATAAAAATGTACCAACTGGGGCACCTGGGTGGCTCAGTCTGTTAAACACTCAGGTCATGATCTCATGGTCCTGGGATCAAGCCCCCCCCCCACCTCCCGCTAAGCCTTGAACTCCCTCCCTGCCAAGCTCTGAGCTGAGTCTGCTTGTCCCTCTCCTTCTCCCTCTGCCCCTCCCCCTGCTTATGCTCTCTCTGGCAAAATCTTTTTTTAAAAAAAAGTACCAGCACACACAGATCAATCTCAAAAACATTATATAACACAAAAGAAGCCAGACACACAAAAAAGCATATACTACTGTACAACTCCATTTATGTCAAGTCCAAGACTAGGCAAAACAAATCTATGGTGTCAGAAACACGAGGCTGAAAGTGGTTGCTTTAGTGGAGGAGTGTGGGTGAGGAATGACTAGAAAGGGGCATGAGGGAACTTTCTATGGTGATAAAAATGTTTTCTATCTTATTTTGCTAGAAGTTACAGTGTATAAAGTTGTTAGAACTCCTTGAACTGGACACTCAACATATGTGCATTTTATTGAACGTTACTGATACCTCAATAAAAATACAAAGTAGCACTTTGCTTTAAGATACGTTAATCATTTTGTTTCAAATGAAATTCTAGAATATGGCATAATAGACAACTACATTTTCAATTATTTGCCACTCTCAATTACTCACATCTCTATTCCTTCATACTGCAAATACCAAAATGGATTACAGACACAGCTATCAGAATATATGTTCACGTTTAATTTTCATAAATAGCAAATTTAGTTTGATCCTACACAATTTTAATAGGTACCTACGGACTGTCAGAAATCCAGTAGACTTTTCTGTTTTCTATAGTATTTTCCTCTCAATATGATTTTATAGCTGTGATTTATAATTGTGTTGATCTGCTATAAAAATGAGATAAGTGGCGGCTCCTGGCTGTTTTGGTTGGTGGAACATGACTGAATCTTGGGGTTGCAGGGTATAGAGATTACTTAAAATAACAACAGCAAAACAAACAAACAAACAAAAAAAACCTTAAAAAAACAAACAAAAAGAATAAGTAAGACATATAAATCAAATGTCTTCAAGGAAAGTCACTGACAGAACAATAATGCTTTAGCCACTATGACAGCCTAGAAAATAATGCCCTCCTCAACTATTTTAATCAAGACAGAGCCCATACATATTTAACTTTAAGAACAATTGAAAAGCAAAAAGCATGATGAATAGTTTGCCAGCTAATTGGAACCATAAAAAATAACAGCCTAAATAACAAGATTTACTATATTAGTAATATATATTAGTACATCCAACTGATACCTGAAAACCCACGAGGCCCTTTTCTCCTGTTTTACCAAGTCCTCTTTCATCTTTCTTTCTCATCTTTTCCTCTCCCTCTTTTGGTCTCTATCCCGGTATAGTTTTATCCCCACCGCCTCTCACTCTCCCTATGATATTGCTAATTGATTTTCATACAGCCAGCTCGCCCCAGGTTCCAAATAAATTTACAAAATTGTAGTGTATTCTATGTAGATTTGTCACATACTCAAAACTGTATAGAGAGTATAGGTATAGCCTGAGGGCTACCTTCAGGTGAAGTTATTAACTGCAGAATAATTTGGCTTGGAGGGTATACCACAAAACTTTAGTATTAGTCATAAAAACATGATTAAAAGAAATTGAGAACTGGGACAGTAACATTCTCAGGAAATCATTTTTGTTCCTTCAGGTCTACCACAGGACTTGGAATGACAAATGGGGCCAATGTTTCCTGAATGAATAAAATAAATGAATATTAAAAATCAGAGATATTTAGGGCTAGAATAATCTTGGGATCATCTGGTCTAATAACCTCATTTTATTTATTTATTTAATTTATTTATTAAGTTTATTTGTCAGAAAGGGGATAGCATGAGCGGGGGAGGACCAGAGGGAGAAGCAGTCTCCCCACTGAGCAGGGCAGCAGAATGGGGGCTGGATCCCAGGACCCTGGAACCAGCACTTTAGCAAAAGCAGACCCTTAACCAACTGAGCCACTCAGGTGTCCCTAATAACGAACTCCAGACACCTGGCTAGCTGGGTAGAGCGCACGATTCTTGATCTCTGGGTTCTAAATTGGAGCCCCAGATGAGGAGCAGAGATTACTTAAAAAAATAAATAAATAAAGATAAGCAAACAAGAAATCCTCACCAGAGGGAAAGTAAGGAAGCTTATAGAGTTAGAATATACTGGGTTTTGCATTTTAATTCTCTTTTTCTTTCCTAGAAATGAGTTAGAAAGGGGACTGTAAATATAATGACTTCGGACTCTGAAAGAAGGGGTAGGATAAAAGAAGCCAAAGACTAGAAGGAAGAGACTAGCAAAAATAAATGAGGCTGGACAAAACTATTTTTCTAAGCCTAATATATTTTTTGACAGGCCAATTAATTAATCAAACTAATCCTCCAAAAAATTAATCTGAAGGATTCTCAGAAAAAGAAACATGAGCTGCATGAAAATGTTACAAACCATGGGAGACAGCACAGAGCTAACTTAAATGTCCACAGGCTTATTTCCTGTGCAAGTATGACCTCCTGGGATAAGTTTTACTGCAGTGTTCATCACCAGACGGCTTTTGGTTTTAAGAGAAGCACGTTGGAAATGCGATTCTTAACTAAACACTAAAAAAAAAAAAAAAAAAAAAAGAAAGAAAGAAAAAAGCTCTTTCCCATTTGTTTGTAATTAGATTGCAGGCTTGCAGAGGAAACACACCAACTTCATAAGCAGGAATACAACGACCCAGTCACGTCCTCAAAACAAATCAACACACAAACTTCACAGCTGGATCCAGCTGTGCTGCACAGGAGCCAGGAATTTATTTTAAGGCAGAGGATATAGATCAAAAACGGCAAATCCAAGACAAGCCAGATTTAAACCCCCCTCCCCGCCCGCAAAAGGGTGTGACCTAAGGTTCGTTTTTTTGTTTTTTTTTTTTCTTTCTCCTCTTTCTTTCTAACTTTCAACTAGCAGAAGCCTTTGAAGGAGTGTTGCTGAGAAAGCCTGTTTAAGAGGATCGCCCCTCAGCTACTCCTCCGTGGAGTAGAAGGGGCGGACAGGCACCGCGAGCTCGCACAGCTTCGGCAGGCGCGGGCTCCGGCGGGAGGGGAAGGGGCCGGTCCCGAACCCGGGGAGGCTGGGCCCCCGAGTGATTCATCAGCAACCGGGGGTTCGCGCGCCTCCAGCGCGGGCGACGCCCAGCGCGCCCCACGGCCCCTACCCGGGCCCGTCCCCCACCCTCAAGCAGCCCCCAATGTCTCCACGCTCCTCCCAAGAGACACCGGTAGGGTTAGGAAATCGGGGCTGGCGGCTGAAGGGCAGCAACCTCTCCCTCCTCAGCCACCATGGCCGGTGCGACTCCCTGCCTGAGCCCGCAGACGGACTTCCTGGAAAGCACCGGGCTAGGTTTACCTGACTGGCACCCGTTGGGGCCGCCGACCTTCTTCACAGACCCGCGGGAAAGGTCTGTCCCTCGATTCCCGGGACCCGCCCGTAAGCCCGCTTCTTTCTCCTTGGGAGTTGCCCGATCCACTCGCGGATGCCCCAACCCGACGGCTCTGTCTGTGCTGCTGGTTCCCCCTCCGCCACAGACGCGCGTGCGCACTCCTGGGTTGCGGGGCATCTTGGGAGTTGTAGTTCCGGCAAGGAGGGCGACGCTCTGAGCTGACCCTGGTTTTTGCAATTTGCAGGATGTTTGAAGCAGCTGCTGATAGCAAGCCTTACTCCAGCCGGCGACAAGGATCTTTACTAGTGGAAATCTCTACCCTGGACCCTTTGGGAGCTATAAACAGCAACTCGAGGCTCTTTGGGATAGACTTCCTCTTTACTTTGACTTTTACTGAAGAGGCATACAAGGCAGGGCTTATATCCTACCCTTGCTTGCTAATGCAAGGACATGACATCGAGCCCTTTAAGCTCGTCGTGAAAAACTGATAGAAAAGTAAACAAAGGCGAAGTCAGAAAAGGGGCATAAATCACGCAGATGTCATCTCAAGGACGTAGTGACCCTAGGGATTTCCTTGGGCATGTACAAGGGATGATGTCTCAGCGATAGCCCCTATATACCCGGACAGTTTGGGCCGCAACCCATCTTCCCATTCCAGCCTCAAGCTCTACACCAGGTGGTGAAGCTGGGTTAGTATGAGTGGGAGAAAAAACCAGAAGTGCCGCTCAAAGAAGGGGACTGGGACAGATGGGTAGCCTATAAGGAAGGATGAGGAAAGTGGGAACACCTCAGAGGGCGGTGCTACGGTGGCCAATGAAGTGGCTGCCTTTTGTGCAGGGCTCTGTGGAGAGGGGACAGCAATGGCCTTCCGTTCATTGGTAGTTGCTCATTGGTAATTTTTCTGTCCTGCTCTTCATGACTAAACCTTTCCCAGGAGTCATGCTCGGCTTTGATACACCATCTCTGAAGAACGCAACCAGGAAGAGGACGAAGTGCCTGCTTGAGGTACATTCCAGCTACTCCTAGTGTGGAAACCGACTAATGGTTAATCCTCTCCTGTCATTTACGTGTTCCCTTCAGAGCAGGAAGCACCCTAGGTAAAGTAAACACCCTGGAATTTCATGCTAGTTGTATCCATTAATCCCTGAAATGAAAATCACTCATAATTTGGAGTTTTTAAGGAAAAAAAAAAAAACAAAACCTTGTAGGTTGCAAGTACTCTTAGAAGACCGTTGACATTAAATCTCATAGCCACTACACCTTATTTTCTGTAGCATTTTAGTGTTTATGGATTTCTCCAATATTCTTGGATATAGCAGCTTTCTGAGAGCAACTTCCTACAGAATTCAGTTTCAACTAATATTGAGTACTTAATCCACACCATGCACTGTACCAGCACATTTATAATATTTCATCCAGTCCTCCAAATAACCCTACAAAGAATATATTTGTATCTTCCATTTCTACAGATGAGAAAGCTAAGACTCAGAAAAGTTAAGTAATTTGCACAAAGTCACACAATCATAATTCGGAGATCCAGAAATAAAGCACAGGTATGCTGATTAAAATTCTAGCATGCTTTCCACTGTTGATCAGACTGATGTATCTCCTAAACTCATCAAATTCTTGAAGGTAATATAATCTGTGACTGTATCCACTGTACATGAAAAGAATTCTCTCACACAGTCCAGGAACATTGTACTCTGACTGGATAAGAGATTCATTTGATCTGGATTCATTTGATAGTTCTATATTTCATTATATATTAATATATAGGAATTTTGGCTTACCAGCAAATGTCCTATAAATTCCTGTAACACCTCTGGGGCATCACTCCTGGGAAAACTGACAAAATTTCCTGAACAAGTTGAGTTCTTGAACAAGCAAAGCAAACTACAGCCGTCGAGATATAGTTTGTGTCTTTAGGCATGGAGGGCTTTTAATTCAGTATCTGATAATCTATGACATGTTTCCTCTCTGGTCTTCCAATATGGGGTGTTAAGAATACCTTCAATGTATTTTATCTTTCTCACTCTCCCTCTCTCTCTCTCTCTTTTTTAAGAGAGAGAGAGAGAGCACACATGTGCATGGGGAAGGTGTAGAGGGAGACAGAGAGAATTTCAAGCAAGCTCCACACTAAGCTGAGCGCAAAGCCCCAAACTCATAACCCTGAAATCATGACCTGAGCTGAAATCAACAGTTGAATACTTAACCAACTGAGCAACCCAGGTGTCCTTGTATTTTCTCTTTTAGATAAGTTACTCATTTAAAATTTTTCCCAACAAGTGTCTAACTCTTTTTTTAGTTGCTTTTTCTAAAATAATGTGATTCGGTGCTGGGTTTTTCCCCCTTTCCTCAGACAAATATTAACATATTATAACCACAGAGCTCACAGACATGAATCTCCTAACCCCATGTGATTTAAATATTACATATGAGTGGGGGGGGCACCTGGGTGGTACAGTCAGTGACTCTTGGTTTTGGCTCAGGTCTTGATCTCAGGATCATGAGATAGAACCCCAAGTGGTGCTCCACGCTGAACACAGAGTCTGCTAAAGTTTCTCTCTCTCTCTCTCTCTCTCTCTCCCTCTGCCTCTCCCTGCCTTATGCTCTCTCTAAAGTAAAAAAATCTTTAAAAAATAATTTAGAAATACTACACATGGGACCTGCGGTGTTAACAATCATATCCTGGTGTTGAATAAGACTGTAAAAAATAGAACGTGCTTCCACTGCTGTGATTCTCCGCACTAACAGTTTCTGATTTAAAAACAAATGAGATCATGTCACCTTTCTGCTCCAAACCACTCATAGCCTCTCAATCCATTTTGAATAAATCCCCAAGTTACCACCCCTACAAGTTCTTATGTGACTTTTTCCTACCATACTCTCTCACTCTGCTCCAGTACCCTGGTTTCCTTGAGGTTTCTCCATATTGCCAAGTACATTCCCACCTCAAGATCTTTGCACTACACAGGAGAATGCTTTTCCTTCCAAATACTCATGGCTCGTGCCATCATTTTAATGAAGGTTCTGCTCAAGTGTCACCTCCTCTGGTCACCCTACCTTGCCTTCCTCTCCTTTCCTTACTGTCTTTAGAGCACTTGTCACTACCTAATATCATCTTGCTTGTATACTCAGTGTAAGCTCATGGAGGACTTTGTGTTGTTTACAACACATCTTTGCATCTGCTACAGTGCCTGACACAGGCTGGAGATTCAATAAATATTTGTAAATATGAATATTGAATCCTTCCCTCCCCCTCCTCTTCTCAGTTGAGGACACAGAACAAGAGGGTTTGCCTGTAAATGCCAGCCAGTGACCTCATGCAGATATAAACACCAGCTGTGAGAGGGTTGGCTCCACAGGACAAGATACAGTGAAGCTCATCCTGAAATGGAGACAGAGCTCTCTTTTAAAAAAGACTATGCTTTGGGGCGCCTGGATGGCTCAGTCACTAAGTGTCTGCCTTTGGCTCAGGATCCTGGGATCGAGCCCCGCATGGGGCTCCCTGCTCAACAGAAAGCTTGCTTCTCCCTCTCCCACTCCTTCTGCTCGCATTCCCTCTCCTGCTCTCTTTCTCCCTGTCAAATAAATAAATAAAAATCTAAAAAATAAAAAGACTATGCTTTATGGGTTGTCATTACTAGCTTACGGTTAGCAAAACACATTCTTTTTTTTTTTTTTTAAGATTATTTATTTATTTATTTGACAGACAGAGATCACAGGTAGGCAGAGAGGCAGGCAGAGAGAGAGGAGGAAGCAGGCTCCCCGCAGAGCAGAGAGCCTGATGTGGGGCTCGATCCCAGGACCCTGGGATCATGACCCGAGCCGAAGGCAGAGGCTTTAACCCACTGAGCCACCCAGGCGCCCCAGCAAAACACATTCTTTTTTTTTTTTTTTTTGCAAAACACATTCTTAAAAAGAGAAAAAGAAAAGGAAAACCCTACAAGTTAGATTGATATAAATAAGTGAAAAGATAAAGCCACTGAAGTCCTGTGGTAGATTGAGATATTTTCCCCAAATATTTGCTCTCCTCTACAGGACAGAACAGCCCTACCCACTGCTATGTGACTTGCAATGTCCTATAGACATTTTCAGGCTTGGCTATGATCTGGTAATACATTTTTCCTTCTTTCTTCACACAGATCTTGTTATACTGTAATCTCAAAGTTTATATACATGGACCTTTTTTTGAGCCAATGAGATGTGAGTGGAAGGGACAACAGGACAGCTCTGAATAGAAGCTTTAAGAGTCATTGGTATTTCTGGGGTGCCTCAGTCAGTTAAGCATCTGCCTTGAGTTCAGATCATGATCCTGGGGTCCTGGGATCAAGCCCTGCATCAAGCTCTCTGCTTGGCGAGGAGTCTGCTTCTCCCTCTTCTCACTCTCCCTCTGTGTGAGCTCTCTCTCAAGTAAATAAATAAAATCTTTAAAAAAAAAAATCACTGGTGTTTCCCACTAGTGTGCTTACTCTCTCTCTCCGGGAGGAGTGTGACATGTCCCAAACGGCAGTTGGTCCACCGGCCCGGGGTTGTAGAATGAGAAGTCACATGGGGCAGCGCCTGAGACAGACACAGGTGCTGACATGTAATGTGCACAAGAAGTAAACTGAGATCTAGGTTTGTTTGTTCCTAGAGACTCACCCAGCAAGAGCTGACTGCTGCACTGCCTATTCAGTGAAAGGCAATAGAAACAGAAGAGGTATGGCAACCCTTCCCCATGCAGTGAATCCCACTTTGAATAATGGAAAACGGGAAGTTCAGCATACTGTCAAGAACAAATATGAGACTGTTAAGTAAAATACATGAATGAGGGACAGAGTATGGTTCCTATTAGTTTTTGGGGTTTGGTTAGAGTGAATGTGATTGTTAAAATGTCACTGTAACTCTACTTAATGTACTATAAGCCCTAATTACTGTTATATTTAAACTTCCAGCCAGGGGCACGGGGGTGGCTCAGTCGGTTAAGTGTCTATCACTGGCTCAGGTCATGATCCCAGGGTCCTGGGATCGAGCCCTGTATCGGGATCCCTGATCAGCAGGGAGCCCGCTTCTCCCTTTGCCTGCTACTTCCCCTATTTGTGCTCTTTCTCTCTGTGTCGAATAAATAAATAAAATTTAAAAATAAATGAATGAATGAATGAATGAATGA